AGAACTCCTTCAGATATACCAGCTTTAGTTGGAATTTTTGAGATGTACCGTTTGAGCGATGACTTTGTTGGTAAAATGAATATTTTGGAAAGTACTCTGTATGCTTTGCCACTAGCATGGTACAATGACAGCGCTATCGTCTTCATCTCTGCCGAGTATCGTCTCCCATGATTTTTCTTGGAGTGGAGTTTTATTTGTTCTCTAATAAAGTTTGCCATGTGGTCAGGTAGCTTTGCCAGGGCTTCTTCTAACGTTTTCTCTTTTTTTGATTTCTTTTTAAAACTCAGTTTTTTCCTCAATTTTTGCACCTGGTCTTTTTTGTATTTATATGCCCGCCTTATTTTCTTTTTCCTGGGCGTGTTGCTGGTAAGGTCTGGACTGGTTTGACTGGCAAAATCTGAGGTGCCTGGGTGGTCTACATTTTCTTGAGATTCTATAATTATATAACATATTAGGGCTGCTGAGAGTGGGTGGATAATATTTATAGAAGGGTTAATTTTGTCCTGAGAGACCTAGCTCAACAAGGACAAAGGCCGTTAAAATTTCTTGATACAAAATTGCTTAACCTATAAAATAAATCATATAGTTGCGTCAGTGCCAGTAATATTATTGTAAAACACTCTCTTGTTTTATAATTATGACGTTATAGGGGCCTCCGGAAAGTTTGCCCCAGGCCCTGCGAAGCCTATTGGCACCGCACCCTCGTCCCCAGATCGAGGACGACAGTAATGAGGATGATTGGCAGCCCTGGGAAGCCCTGAGTACATGGATTATGGACTATACTAATTTGATGTAACTCTTAATTTTTAAATTATTGGTTAACGCATGTAAATGAAAATTAAATATCAGTTACCTTCAATATTTGTACGAGTTAAATTTATATCTTCCTGTTGGTTTTCCACATCGGGCATATCGTGTGCTATTTTGAATAAAGTTTTATGGACATTATTTTTACAAAATTTTGTAGATGTTTGCGATTACAATATTACAAATTACCATGTTCATTGTGACACAATAATATGTAGATATGATACTTACAATGAGAAGTGCGTTCTGTGTTTTCACTACTACTTTTTTTTCGTCTTTTCCCTAATGCAAAAATGTACATTTGATTTGCAACGGTAAATACTCACTTAAAATTAAATCACTTGAAGGGAAACTCCCCAATCAACGTCTAATACATTTTTTTTCAAATTATTCGCCATTCATGCTCACTGAATGCACATATGCGCATAGCTGGAATCTATGATACACGAAGTGTTAATTAAAATCCTTTTGTACAATACAAACAATAGGTCTTCTTTCCGACATAAATCAATAAGCAACCTCTTTACCTTTTGATGGTAACAGGTCTTCGTTTCTGTCTAAGATGCGACGTTTACGACCCAGTTTTGGTGGTGGATTTTTCACATTAAAAATGCTAGGCCTCGCGGTGTTATTCAACCGGTTTTTTCTTGACGGGTTAACAAACATACAGTCCTCAAAATGTTCCGAACACAATCTGCAATTGGCGTATAAATACTCTGAGGTTTTGATCAAAAGATCTTCACGTCGACACGAAACGACCCACTCTTTCGATCTACATTAATATAAAAGTTTATTCCATTTTATAATTTTTTATGGACTGTTGCATATTTTTGTAACAATCATGATCTATTAAAATGAAGACATTGTACATAAATATTACCTTTTGGGGTCAGATGGAAAACGGAAAAAGCTCAGTTCTGGACGGGACCCCTTGCTATTAGAGCAGTTACAGGCCGAGCAATATACTCTTGTTCCTCCAGGTTTAAGTTTTTTCGTGTTAGACATCGCAATAATTGCCAAAACCAGCGAAGTAATCAGAGTGTAGCAAATCGACTTCATTGAAGCAAGAGCAAAAGCACACAAAAGCACATGCATAAAAATCAGGGCGTTGCCGTTGTTAATATTTTATTGAGAATGGAAACGGAATACAAAATACGTACGTGATGGACTATGCTTTCCATAACAGCACGATTTTGATGTATAGGCTACGTGTATTACATTGGTTTTCCAGTTATTCTGACATAGGATGCCTTAGATAACTGCAGTATATACATGCATTGAAATAAAGGCACAACAAAGTTCCCTTATTCAAAAACCAAATGGCTAAGCTTCTCTGGCAACTGCAAGACTTTCGCAGTTGGGTAAAAATCTGTCATTTGGGCAAAAAGACACAAATATCCTGGATGAATTTACTGGGGGGTGGGGGGTGGGGGGGTGCACACACCCCTAGCCCTGACCAAAGGGGGCAGGGGGTGTGTGCTATTTTTTATGATAAATCAAAAAAATATTACAGACAAAATGAGATACAGTAATTTGAGTAATAACATGATAATAAGCAAACGGTGAACAACAATCCAAATACAATAGTCAAGCAAGACTTTGCAGTAGTCAAGCAAGTTGATGGGTAGGTGGCACACATGACCAACACAACTTGGCACCAGAGCTGGCAGAGCAACCCCTCCCACCCCCCTACCAGATCACGATGGATCCATCCCCGAAATATATGACAGGAAAGCATTCAGAAGACATCTACATTTAATTTATATTTTACTGCATTGAATACAATCAATATTTTGACAATACTTGATGATTACACTTAATTCATTAAACTTCTGCACATCAGAGTTTTCAAGCAAGTCCAGCAATCTGGTGCAGCCAAGTCCCCAACCACAAACACTGGTTATTGGTGCAACAGATTACCGAGAGCAACATGTTAGTTCTGGTGTAGTCCAAGAAAATGCTGTTGCATATGTTGCAGGATATCTCCTGAAGAAATGTTTCAACATCCATGACTGTTCCACATGTAAAGAGACTTTGGAGTCAGCGAATTTGGATAACAGCAGCAAATTATTCTGCTACTTCAAAAACTATAAAGAGGACAATAGTTCTGGAGGATTACATATGCCTCCTCAGTGTTTCCTCGACTATATTTTGCGCCTGGAGGACAGCTTCGTGAAAAACTTCTCAGTTTATACCAAGTCCACAACAGTCGGTGGTAAGCTGCTGAAGACCCTTAATGGTATACCCATCACATTCCAACACTGCCCAACATTTCCTGTGGAATATATGCTTTCTAAGGATGCGTATCTATTACACAATCAAGTTTGCAAACAGGAACTTTGCAGCTAAAAAGAAAAGCAGAAAATATATCAAAGTAACCCATTTATAAACCACCTACATCTTATAAACCATGCTTTATATTCATGTTACATTTATGTAAATATAGTCTCGAGAATCTAAGTGGTATAAAATGCCAAGATTAGTATTTACCATCATTATCAAAGATCAAAACCAGCATTTAACATTGATATTTTAAAAATATTTTATATATTAATAATTATTGACATTGATGATTGAACAGAACTCCAAGAAAGAACATAATATAAACGTGAATAGTCCAGAAAAGTTATATCTAACGACATTTTTTCAGATATTCAATATATCATTCATTTGTCTAAACAGTACCATCTTGTGTCCACATACTGCTCACTCTTACGAACGATTTCAATCACTTTAAATACAGTTGTTAATCTCATAAATACAAAAATACACTCCTCTTACCTTCGCCTTTAATGTACTATCCACAGAAAATACGATAAAAGACAAAATCACGAAATTTTCCATTTTATTACTGAAAATGCACTTCTCGCCAATACATTTCCCTATTATACTTGCTGCAATCTACTTGCCAGCAACATGGCGGCCGTCAATTTCCGGTGCGAGGCGGCAGCGTCAAAAACATCAAAGGAGTGGCCTTTCTGTTCATTCTTTATTCTGTGGTACAGTGTCAGACGCGCACATACTGCCATACGAATACATATAAATTTTCGAGTTTTCTACTTCTACTAAGGATACTAACAGTTTTCATTGTGTCTCAATCATCTGTTTATTTCTAGTTCAATATAAGTTCATTTATATTTCTATATTTATTTGATAGTGGCATATATAGTATGTGATACATGTAGGCTATTTACACACAAGCAATCCTGGATATGATAGAGACGATACAAGGTGTCCATTAAAAAATAACGGTATTCTATTTCACAAAGCAAAAAAGTTAAATCTCACTTGTATTATTAAGAATATATATAAAGCAGAGAATTAAAGCTTGTGTCAAAACGAAAGCTGTTTATAAAATTTATAAATGTGGTATAAACACAATAGTAAACAGTAAGACAAATATATTGTCGTTTGACTTATCTTTGATGTATGACTTTACTGTAATACCGTAGATTTTCAACACACAGCTAGACTTTGACATATATACCATGATCGTTGAGATCTTGCAGGAAATTTTGTAGTCTTTTGATGGGATTTAAGTTTTGTGATAAGGCCTTTTATAATCAACAATCTCGATACAGTTGGCGCTCTTGGCCGTTTGGCGATATTTCGGAAATCAAAAGATCTCGCTATTTCGTTCCAATTCCACATCTCATCAATAAATATATTCTTTTGGTTCGAGTATCAGGATATACTTTAATACTAACAGTTAAATAAATATAAACCACATTGGTCGGTCTAGAGATACGAATTTTCTTGTGCTTTAAATTAATATTGCCACGCCGCCCAGGCATGCTTTCTTCGGCAAGTTTATACGTTGAAATCTGATCCAACTTGCTTGAATTGTAACTCGACACTAGATTATAGAGTAGAAAGTCACATCACGATAAATATTAATTTTTAATTGCAGTTCTCTTCACGATTTCTTGTCGCAAATTTAAATTTCATCACACAAAATTGCAAATATTGTTACAAACACGACAAACACGCTCCTCTCCCACCCTGCCCATAGTATCATTTTAATGTGACCAGCCGTGACCAGCCGAAACCAGGGTCTTTCCTTCGCCTCGCGCCGTTCTAAGAAAGACCCTGGGAACGAGGTTGTGAAAGAACAAGGCTCATTTGTCATTATTTTTGAAAGATTTTTACTCTTAACCATCGTAGCATATCTGCTACATGTTTTAATTAATTCTGTTTTATTAAACGGTAGTACCCCCCTGTAGAAAATTAATTATTCATAAACAAAGACGGCGGCTCAAGGAGAAGCACATGTTCGCAAATCCAAGGTAATTTCTTTGCTTTTTTCTTGTCCTTTTTCCCTGAAGTCAACATGTTTTTGTTATTATATCTAAAATAGTACACCTATACAATATTTTGAACCAAGATATAGCGAGGAATTTTGCTTTTAAGTTGTGAAATTTTGAAATTGAAATTCGTTGTAGCAAATGTGCTACATTGGTCAATTGTGGTAACCCATCACCTAATCAAACCAGATAATTATCTGGTTTATTTCTTCAGTTTTTGGCCTATATATTTACAAGTACAATAGCACACAATAAAATAATGTTTTGCTCTACTTGTTTATCTTTTACTCAGCTTGTATTTTATGTCATATCTTATCTTTTCTGCAAATCTCAGCTGATAGGTATCATGTTGATGATGTCCTTGACATTGTTGATGGATCGGACAGAGAGTTTAGTGAATTGTCAAGTGACGATGAGTTGGATGATGAGTCGTCCTATCCTGATAGAAGTAATGGTAACACGCAGAGCAAATCTGGATCTGATGATTTCAATTTGTCAGATGATGAGCCTCTTGCTTCGCTTGCAAATCAACAAGATGCTGCTGTTGAATCTGGGTATAAATTCAACAATCGAAGGGCATTCATCCCACCATCAGATTTGGAGTTTGTTGATGTTGCTGCTGAACCAGAACCCATAGATAATACTCCCTATGGCTACTTCAAAAGTTTTGTGACTGATGATATGTTTGAGCACATTGCTTTGGAATCGAACAAGTATGGGCATCAGAAAAATGGAGAGCCTACAAACCACTGCAAAGGAACTTGAAACTTTTGTTGGTCTTTATACTTCCACATGGGAATAGTAAAGATGCCAAGTGTTAGTAGTTATTGGGAGACAGGTACTCGATACCCACCAGTTGCTGATGTTATGTGGAGGAATCGATTTCAGAAGATTGCTATCACGATACATCTCCAAGACAACTTGGACGTAACTGAAGAACAACGAAAAGACAAGGCCTGGAAGATAAGACCTTGGTTTGATTACCTGAACTTGAACTTTGGAACTGGTAGTCCATCAGAAAACCAATGTGTTGATGAAGCAATGGTTGCCTTCAAAGGAAGATCATCTCAAGAAGTATCTTCCAAAGAAGCCCAAGAAATGGGGATTCAAACTTTGGGCTCGATGTTCTTCCACTGGATTTATGCACAAGTTTGACATCTACCAAGGCAAAGGAACTGGCAGAGATGATGATGTTTCTGATTATGGACTTGGCGGGAATGTGGTCCTTAAGTTGTGTGCATCCCTCCCACCTAACCAAAACTTCAAGGTTTTTGCAGACAACTACGTTTCTAATTTTGCCCTGGTGAGTGCATTGGCACAACGAGGTCTCCACTATGTTGGCACGATAGCAAACAACTGTCTGCATGGTGCTCCTCTTAAGTCAGAGAAAGAGCTGAAGAAAGAAGGCAGAGGTTCTTATCACTGTGTTGTAGAGACATCAAAGAACCTATTTCTGGTTCTTTGGCTTGACAACAAGTGTGTAACCGTCGTGTCATCATATCTTGTGGCTGAACCTGTTGGATCTGTTCAACGATATGACAGGTATAAACGCTATAAATATATATGATAAAATAATATATTATACCTCAAATTCAGAAAGCTAAGTTTGTGCCATGTGAGCATGAAATTTATCATTGAATCATGCTTTACATCATCGCAGATTTCAATCATCACACCGGGTGATTTCTCAACTTGGAGGCTTTCAATTTTCGGTGTAATATATCATTTATATACCTTCCGCTCAGGGAATTTGGTGAAATATTACCCTCAGTCATGATATTTCCTTCGTTTCACCAAATTTCCCTCTCTCTGGGACTAGGTCTATAAACGATAAATATTACAAAGATATGATAGGTATAAACATTCCCTTCAATTTCCAAAAGCTCTCTTTAGGAGGTAAAAAAGGAATTATTTGTATTTTTTCTTTAGATCCCAGAAAAAGCATATAAGTGTTGATCGACCTCATGTGATTGGTGTTTACAACATTGGTATGGGTGGTGTTGACTTGATGGACATGATGTGCACTATATACAAGTACAAACTCAGAAATAAAAGGTGGTATATGTACATTTTTTACCATACACTAACCATTGCCATTGCCAATGCATGGTTCTTGTACAAATGGAATTGCAAGATCCTAAATTTCAAAAAAGTGTTGCCCATGAGGAAGTTCCAGGCCCATGTACCATCAGCCTTGTGTTCCGCAGGACAATCTCCACGCGGCCGCCCATCACTTGGTTCAATTCCAAAGAAAAGGAAAGTTCAGGTGAATTCTGCTCCTATTGCCGACATCAGATTTGATGGTATTTGCCACTTCCCATCTTTTGGAGAGAAAAGGCAACGCTGTAGGCACTGGTCCAGATGGGTTTTCATTTGTGCTTTGTCAGAAGTGCAATATGCCTTTGTGCTTGAACAAAAACCGAAACTGTTTCCATGCTTACCATGTTAAGTAGCATGCATGCAAGCATTGGTAAAGCTAGCAATTACCAACAGGTGATGCTATGAAAATGTTTAACAATTTGAATTATTCATTACATAATTGTATGGTCTCAAAACTATTTAGGTGCATGTTTATCTGCATAGTATGCCTTGTTGCCATGGCTAGCTTTGCAACTATTTGCAAGTAATAAACCACGCCCCAACAACTGTATACCACACCCACATGCTTGATCGAACATGTCTGAAGACAATGCCAGGAGAAGCCTTGCAAACTATAACTAACTAATAACAACATATTATAGTTTTACCATTTAGTTTTGTATATATTAGTTCTAATTTCAAAAGTGATATTTTACAATGTTTTTATCAATTACAGCCCAATGCAGCAAATCTGCTACATTGGAGAAAAACTGGAAAAAATATTGAAAATGAATTTTTTTGGAGAAATAGATTATTGTGGTCTAAAGTAGTATTATTGCACAAGAAAGTAATTTTTAGAGTATTAGACACTTGCCTGGGTGATATAGGGTTAAGTTTATTGTTTACTACATGCATAACTGTTCAAAAGCATTTTTGATATTAACACACAACATTTTCACCTTGACAAGTAAATTTGTCTGCCAATTCAATATTTGATTCTTTCACCTAATGGACCATTCCATTTAATATACACACACCCCTATGGATGAGGTTTTCTGAGGGGTTGCCGGAATTTTAACGAAATTTGTCAGGGTAACCACCTGTAAATACACCCTTTAGTTAATTCCATAACACATACTTTTTGCTCATGGAGCCCCAGATCATGATTCACGAGTGCAAGGCTCTCAGGCCAAATGATGTAATTATTGAAAGGGTGTGTTATTAAAATTTTGGATAAAATTCATCTGAAGGGTTGTCTAAAATAGGAAATAATTCTGAGCAGCATGCTATTGGAGATGAGGTTTTCCAAGGGATTGCCTCAATTTTAACCAAATTCTTAAAGGTAACCTGTAAATACACCCTTTCGTTAATTACGTAACACATACTTTTTGCTCTTGGAGTCCCAGCTCACGATTCATGAGTGCAAGGCTCCCACAGGACAAAATTAAATATTTAAGTCACCTGAAACCGTCATTAAAGTTAAACTATTGGAACATTTCAGGCGACTTTTAGGGTATCCTTAAAGTTATAGAAGGATACTTTAATGAAAATTTAATGATTCACTTAAAGCAAACTATTGACGCATTTCTGATATTTCTTAAATGTTACCTAAAGCTTTTCGTGAAGCTTTAGAATTGAACCTTAAAAGCTAGGAAATGGATCTTTAAGTTTCATTAAAGGAACCCAAAAGAAACATTAAATTACCACTTAGTCTTTAAGAAGCCTTTAATATCTCATCTTTTTGTGGCTGAAAGGTTCGCTTTTCGATAAAAATAATGCAGCTCTAAGTTATATTATTTTAAAATAGTATATAATGACTATCTTGAATTTCATACAATACATGCTTCCGGAAAGTACGTCACTATAGAGCCTCGTTTTCGTGATTGAGACGCGGCCTTTAACTGATGTCTGATACACGAAAACGAGGCTCTACAGCCAAAGTGACATACTTTCTGGAAGGGTGTATTACACTTTAAATGCCTTAAAGATATCCTTCCAAAATGACGCTGTTACGTTCATTAACAATTTCGCATTGGAACTGTGGTTAAAAAAATCATAACGATGGTATATTATAACCCGTAAACATGCAAATACATTAAAAATCACAGGAAAGAGACACAAAATCACCATTTTTTAGGCAGATATATATTATAATTTTGCACACTCTACAGTATCATTGTAAATTACTTGAAATATTAACAAACGCCACTAAGTGTACATGTTTTGCAAAGTATAACCTAGCTAATAGTAGGGCATTTACATGGGACAGAATAAGTCGCTACATACGTAATACGCGTCTCATACAGTATAATCAAGACGTTAATTTGATGCTAATAAATTAAAAAGTCTTTACCTTCAAAATTCGTCTTACTAAATTAATTACCGCGTTTTAAGCACCCATCTGTTTTGTTTGTTGCATTTTAAATAAGCCACAACATCATACAGTATACTGTATAGTGTTAAGAATTTTGCTCGTCACGCACATATACTGTACACTGAAATATCTAACAAAGATATTGCAACTTATTTTGATTTTTGTCCCCAATAAATGAACCTAATTTTCATGGAAAAGCCAACCCAATAGTGAAAAAGCCAACCCAATAGCCAACCCCCTGTGAAAAAGCCAACCCAATAGTGCTACAATTAATTATACCGTATAAATATATCTAATTTAAAGGTCATTCCTGGGAAATTGCCCATTCAGGGAACCCTTCAGGGGGCAACCTAGTCGATTTTTCTTCGTGATCTGTTCTTGGAAGAGCTCTATCCCTTGCCCTTTGCGATTGTCCTTCCCTCATTGTCTTATCCAATGCTTTCTTGATTTTTCTTAATTTGCTGCTTTCCCACGACAGTCGCTTTACTTTGTACCCCACAACCTTATTTCTTCCATTTTCATCTTCTTCCACGCATCTTTCTTCACTAGACATCGCATCTTCTACCAGTATTTCTGCCGCCCTTCCATGGTGAAAACCCATTATCCCTTGCGCGCTCAGAGTTTAAGGTTTAAGGTTTTGGAAGGACAACCGTAATTGAATTAGCTGTATACAGCAGCGAATCTACAAAAGATTTCCAGGCTGAGACTTAAGACGTTACAATATACTTTACTATTTCTTTATCTTTAGAGATTTAAATAATCCGCAATGGCAACACGGTCGCGAATAGGCAAATTCGAAGTTACCGACGCCATATTGCAAAAGGGGGCAAACACAATGCCTCTTTGCAATGGGAATACAATACAATACAATACAATAGAACGAAATGAAATGCTAAAACCTAGGTCTCTATTGTGTTTGCCCCCTTTTGCAATATGGCGTCCATAATTGCGAATTTGCCTATTAACCAGTGGCAGTGAATATATACAGCACTGTGGCTGTGTACAATGCTGGTTATTAAGAAAAAAAATTGTCCAATTTAAAATATTGAAGTGAATTACTACATGCAGTAACTGTCTGTACTTACATCTCTTTTCCTTCCCTGCCTTCTGCATTTCTTTTTGTGCTGTTCGTATTTTCCCTTGCTTTTCTGTTTTTCTAATTCGTATTGGGAGACAAAATATATCTTCAACGCAACTGGTAAAACAGAAAAAGGAAGCTTTACAATTATTTCTATATCACCCTGTGTTCATTGTGCAGTATAGTACAGAAAAGTAGTTTAGTTTAGTTTACACTTTATTGGGTAAATATGACATAATTGTTTACAATTACATACTACTGTATGCATGCACGGAACAGATATTACCCAAATGGAAGAGGTGCGAACGGAACGTAAATAATTTACACTACCCATGCAAGGTACCCTTTCCGATAAAATACATGCAAATATAGTTTACTAAATACTGATAACAAATTTATACATTGAGACAATTAACTCCTATGACAAGGACAATCACGTAACACAGACCAAGTACATAACAAGTTTACATCAAATACAGTTGATACTCAGGAGGTTGGAAGCCCTTCCCGGCATGCATTGTAACTCATTCATATTATCGATTTCCTGGGACGCGCCGTCATTGTTCGACTGGCTCTCGTTGTGTTTACTACTCAATTTACAAGGAGCGGTATTCAAAAGTACAAATTGAAAATTGTAAATCATGGCGAATTTTCGTACTGTTCGTGGCAACAAAGCTACTGATTTGGATGGACGTGACAATCTTTATGTGCATTGTGTGTCGAAAGAGCGACTGGAGCTGCTTCGTGAAGGGATGTCGAACTTCTAGTTTTATGGATAACGACAACATTTGGGATTTGGCGTAAAAGTCGACTTATTATATGTTCGCCGAATGCGATAGTCCTTCATTGATAGAAATCTATTCTAGTTGTGACCTTAAGGTACGATTATTTTATGATTTAATTGGTGGGAAAATGGGCCATTTATACTCGGAAATCATACAAGACTACAAGTATTTGACTTTATGAGTTTATGTCAAATGAGTCAAGGGCAGAAGTGCACTTTGTGTTATAGAAATTCTGCCTGCTAAATCTTATCTCCAGTTTTGGGCAAAGTCATGAGGTGTGAACTTGAATGTGACCTGATTAAGTGTGTTTGTGCAGTTATAGTTCCTTGAGTAGACTTTATGTCCAGAACACAGAACAGCTATCGTCAATGGAACATGCACAATCAGGCTTTCATTGGCAAGTCAACACATAATTATAAAGGTGCCCTTGCCTTTTTATTGTTCCAACGTCCCTGTATAAATGCATCAAATTTTTTTTTACCTGTAGCACTTATGTTGTGTTCTGTTGTGGGAGTTTAACATTATTCCATCACCAACTTATGTAACAATTTGACCACCCAAGCTGGATATTTTAGAGGATATACTGAATGACCTACCACTGGTGAATTTAGATGAGCCATTGTTATGCAATTGCATTAAACAGCCATTAAATCCTATGTGTCTGGTTAAAATTCATGGTGAAGAGATGCCTGGTGATGTTGAAAGTATTGGTGCAGAAGGTGGAGTTGCAGACATGGACAAGATTGATGAAATTCAGCAGTTGACCCAATTGTTGGGTGTGGAACAGGCTACTGGTGATGCTAAATACATGAATGATTCAAGCTCTGATTAGGAGAATGATGGAGACAAGGATTCTGAAGGACAAGGATTGTGGAGGAGACACATTGTATCCTGAGAATTAAGACAAGGATTGTGGAGGACACTTTGTATCCCGAGAAGTTTGTTGTAGCTGGTTCCTGGCGAGAACAAAGATACCATGCAACTTGTGATAATCATGTATAGATGATCAAAAAATCTCAAGTTGAAATTTAAAGTAGAACATGAGCAAGACATTTTTAGTTGAGATTTTCATATAAATTTATTCCTATTAAAACACTGTTATTATTTCAGGTAAATATTTGATATTAGTATTT